ACAGACACACACAGACACACACACAGAGAGACACACACAGACACACACAGACACACATACACACACAGCCACACACATACACACAGACACACACAGACACACACAGGCACACACACAGGCACACACATACACACACATACACACAGATACACAGACACATACACACACAGACACACACACAGACACACACATACAAACACACACAGAGACACACACAGACACACATATACACACACAGAGAGAGACACACACAGAGAGACACACACGCATACACACACATATAGAGAGACACACAGAGACACACACACACAGACACACACATATACATAGACACACACACAGACACACAGACGCAGACACACAGACACACACACACACAGACACATACCCACACACGTTGTATGCTATTTGATCATCGTTGTTTCCTTGGTTTCATTTAGGTTGATGGGACAGAAGTAACGTGCCAGGTTGCCTCCTCTCAGAAGTCTGTTACCTGTGGCGTAGGCTACCCTGCTGTAAAGAGAGGTCAACGGGTACGACTTGCATTTCATCCTCAAATTAACTCGTGTGATTTACCGACATAAATCCTCTTTATTAGCTATCATTTGATAGGTATTACAAAATTACTGGCTGCATCCTTAGAGGAAGTTTTAATATCTGCAAATTTTCTTTAAAATTTAGTAAAATTTTTAGTACAATTTTAGTAAAAGTAGGATTTTTTAGTAACATTTTTAGTAAAAATTTTAGTAGTAAAAGTGGGATTTCCCCCATGCAAGGCATTCCAAATGGCACACCCAATATAAAAATTATTTTTGCCTGAATATGTTGGTCATCATTGGTCAAAATGCTGCACAGAGTCGCAGAGACCATTTGGTAGCCCCTGGTGACAAGTGTCACATCAGCACCAGTGTACAAGTCTGTGCCTGGATAGCTAATGTGTGTCCATTGAAAGCTAAGCTTTCAAATAAATAATGACATTCTACCAGTCTGAAATCTTAAACTGCACATAAAAGCAAGTTTACTGTCATGGGAAATGTTTTTTTCTTTATGTTGGCCCCTGCATATGAAGCATTTTAGATTGATAAATTTTAATTTTGCATGTAGGTGACTTTTACTATGAACTTTGACTTCAATCTCCAAAACCTTCAAAATCAGGCATCTCTCAGTTTCGAAGCTTTAAGGTAAGACATAATGAAGTCATGAATTGCTGCTGGATGGCTCCTGTACACTTCTCCTTAAGTAATTCCCTAATGTTTGCTTCTACAGCGAAAGCCAAGAAGAAAACAAGGCAGATAATTTGGTCAACCTCAAAATTCCTCTTTTGTATGACGCTGAAATTCACTTGACGAGGTAGGTGAAGTGAGGGGAGCCTGTCACCATCGACACTCCTCCAGGTTAGGGCACGTCTGGCTTGGGACTTAAGAAGTCTTCTCTGTGCACAGTGTTAACTGAAGAAGGTGAATTAAAACGTTTCCCCCTTGTCAACTAAAACAAGAGTCCACAGGCAGATTGGTCCCAAGGAAAACCTTGAGTGACTTCAGGTTGATTGACTGAGCAGCACCAGAAAGGCAGAGAACTAACCCTTTGGCTACACGTCATGGTGTTGCCACATGTCTGCCACTGCTCTGCAGGCCCGCAGAGGAGTTGTAAACTTCCCAAGTACTTGATACAGAACTCTCCAGGGTCCAGAGAGTTGCCAGCACTTTTTTTTTCACTGCCTAATTCCTATTATACATGAGCTCTCAGGGAGTATCCACGTTCCTGGAAACTCATGCCCCTCACACAATGCTTTGCACATACCAGAGCCACAGAAAACACTGGGTCGAATCCCAGATTCAACGTCTAGATCAGGTCTGGTTTCTGCATGGAGAATTTCCTGACAGAACAGATTAGGGATTTCTTCCATTTGGGAGGAAATGAAGGGTATTCCAAAGGAGGTCACCTGTAAAGAAATGCTTTAGTCCCTGTCTTCACCTGGCCAAAGTGACTGAACTAGAGAGCAGTGGTCAAAACGGTACTGGTTGAGACCAGCTATCGTGAACTGTTCAGAAAAACAGGTGTCTTGGGAAGTGAGTAACATATAAGCACCACAGGTTCTGAGGTTGGTATTATCCTAATCACACTTAGAAGGGAAGCGAGCTCATGGCACGGCTGTGCAGGTGTGTGGGCCACCGGCGAGGCCCACCTCCAAAGCTGGTAACCAGAGCTCTCTACCTGGAGAAGCACTAAGGCGACTTCCCAGCACAGACGGATACCCCTGAAAACACACTGCAGTGTCTTCCCCAGGAGCCCAGTGACAGCAGGTTATTCCAACATCTACCACTTCATCCAAGCCCCTAAAACCCTGGAATTTGTGGATCATCTAGTGTACATTGCTGAGCAAAAACAAAAAGGAAAATATGCCATCATGTCTAGAGCCTGAGACACGTGAACAAAGATGAAAAGAATGTTTCTGTATTAAGTCAGTAGAAACAAAATCCAATCCAAGTCATCCATCTCTGAAAAATTCATCAGTAACTGGAGACTTCAAAGGATCCCCACTTGCTAAAATAAGTAACTAAAAACAAATCTCTTCAACCAAAGAGATTAAAAATGCAACATTATCTGAATTTTTTTCATCCTACTCTCATTGATTCTTTATTCTACTAAAACATTTTTGTCAATTCATCCTTTTGATCATTCTGTTTTCTTTCCATGGCCAGCTTTTTAGAGAGGTGTGTGTGTGTGCGTGTGTGTGTGTGTGTGTGTGTGTGTGTGTTGAGAGACAGGGTCTGGCTCCATCACCAAGGCTGGAGTGCAGTGGCCCAGTCATAGCTCCCTCAAGCCTCCAACTCCTGGGCTCAAGCCATCCTCCTGCCTCAGTCTCCTCAGTAGTTGAGACTACAGACATGCACCACCACAGCTGGTTAATTTCAGATAAGGCCTCTCTACATTGCTCAGGCTGGTCTCAAACTCCTGGCCTCAAAAGATCTCTCTGCCTTGTTCTGGGACTATAGGCATGAGCTCCCACATCCAGCCTTTTTCAGTTATTTGAACATGAAATAAGTATGAATTTGAACTGGGACTTCAGTTTTACTGATTAGCATCTTTAGCTATGTATTTTTGTGATGGTAACTTGGATTCTTATATTTGCTAATATTCTTTAAAATAGTCAAAAATTTAACATGGAGAAGTATAAAGAACAAAAGCTAAGATGGCTTCTAGTCCTACCATCTAAAACCCCAAACATTATAGAAAGATGCCCAGTGAGAGGTGGGGCCATCCCTCCCTTGCTTCCCTTGTTCCAGTCCGCATAGGAGAACAGTAAGCCTGTTTTCAGAATACCTTCCCCCTACAGGGTTTGCTTTCAACCAGGATGTATCCATGTAGCACTCCCACTGACACACATGGGCACAAATGCATTTTATTTGCCCGAAAGGAATGTAAAACACTCTTGTGTGTCTTGCTTTTTACATCATCTTAGAAAAGTTTTCATAACAAGACAGGCAGATCTAACTTACACTAGCCCTGGATGGATCGTAATCTATGTAACCAATCCAGTATTAATGAGCTCTTTGACGGCTTTGCATTTTTATGCTGTATGTCATCATATAAGCAATGCTGGAAAAATATTTTTGTAACAAACATCTTTGCAAACTTTTGAAAAAACGTCCTGTGCATTTATCGAGTGCATCCCTCGACAACGACTTGGACACTATCCAACTGTGGAGTTATAATGTACAAATAGGATGGGCGGGAACAGTAGGATTATTTCTTCAGGATCTCTACCCCCATCCAGCATAGCTAACTGCTGTCACAAATATCTTGCTGATCACTCAAGTAACTTAAAGAACACTTCAGTAACAAATAGCAAAAAGTTCTCTTTAGAGTTCAAAAGCAGCACATACAAATTTAGAAATTGGCCCGTCTTAGGAGCTCACACAAAGATCATCTGGAAAGCAAAGGAAATAATTCATGCACAGACAGATAGCCAAGACTTCTGTTTCAAAACCGGTCAGTTTTCCCATTTTCCACATAAGGCTGACAAATCATTGTTTCCCCTCATCTATAACCTTGACAAACACCACATCTACTCACATCTCCCTATGACTGATTTTCCTTTTGAGAATTTGGAAAAAAACATTTAAGGCATAAAAGAGAAAGACAAGGTTTTAGTAAAGAAATCAACAAATTCTATCCCAGAAAATATGGAGCCCAGTTTTTTTTTCAAGAAATAAAATCAACATCCTATAATTAGTATAAATTGTCACGTGGGAAGAAATGAAGAAAATGTACCCAGAGATTCTCAGACTATTCTCACCACTTGCCCCTCAATCCTGACCCGAAGACTTCTGCCCCAAAGTCCCAGAAATGAGTGGGGAGAGGGGGGTCTCCAGTTGCAGTGCAGCCTCAGTGGTCCTGCAGGGAGTCCTCTGACCCAGGAGTCATCGCCCTGCTCACAATCCCACCTTAGTTCACAGTCCTAAGCAGAAGGATCAAGATTAGTCCAAGGCCTTTAGACCTAGTCAATGAAACTTCCAGGCCTTTCTAGTGGTGGAAGCAGATTTGCCCAACCCCAATTCAGACCTAAACCATTTGCGTTTGTTTGAAACTAGAGAAGGATAGAAGAAAGAATAATAAGGAACAGGCATGCTGTGTTTCACAGACATCCCGTAATGAAGCCTGCAGGAGCTAATACCCAGAACTCTTCTCCCGCACCAAGTGGAAAACCCAGCTTATAAATCCATTTGTCTGACCAACACAGACCAAGTATCCACTATAGTAACGTGGCAGTCAACATAATAGCAATCTTGAGAAAAGTTCTATCAGTTCTTTTTTTAACCTTTTTTATTATTTTTTATTCTTTATTATTTCAGGTTAATTGGAGGGTATAAAGAATTTGGTTACAGTGTTTGCATTTGATAGGTAAAATTCCCTCTTATAATTATGTCCCTCCCCCAAGAGGTGTGCCATACACCCCAACATTGTGCCCAGTTACTATCAGCTCTAAAGTAGTATTTTTGTACTTATTTTAGAAACTGGACAGCAGATAAACCTAAAACATACAGACTCTCAGCAAAAAGCCCATGACGGGACTGTTTTAGAAGGAATTTATGTTACTCTTTGAAACATATATTGGACCATGAACCCATAACAGGCATTCGTTTTCATTTAGTGCTTTTGCAATTAAAATTAAACCTTTACTTACTATAACGTACTTAAATAAAAGAGATATTAAACTTTGAGAACAACACAAATACTAAAATATCTGGCTCCATTAACATTATTCTACAGATCCACCAACATAAATTTTTATGAAGTCCCCTTGGATGGGAAGGTTCCTTCCACCGTGCACAGCTTGGAAGACATTGGTCCAAAATTCATCTTCTCCCTTAAGGTTGGTAAGCCTGTCATAAGAATGGCAAATGCAGGAGAAGGAGGGAAGTAAAAAATAAGTCTGGGAAGATAAGAATAAAGTAAAAGGAAATTGAAGTAGACCAGAGATTCTCAAAGGCTCACCGCCTAGAGGAATTGTTCGAACACAGGTTGTGGGTTTCATTCTCAGCGTTTCTGATTGGATCCATCTGAGGTGGACGTGAACATTTGCACCTCTATCAAGTTTTCAGGTGATGCTTCTGCTGTGGGTTCAGGTGCTGTACTTTGAGAACCTGTAGGATAGATCTCAGAGACATAAAGAGCTAGATTTGTGCATAGTTACATGTCTTAGGTAAGGGATAATCTATTTTAAAGCAAATGTTCAACATTAATCATTCAGAACAATTTTGCAAAATATACAGACATGTGTCTTTTTATATTTTCCATAATAATTAGAAGTTTTCCATGTAGAAATACCATATATTTCTGAAGAATTATTTCTATGTATTTTATATTTTGTGTTGTCATGTCAACTTGAATTCTCTAATTGTTAATGGTATATAATGGATATTTGATATATTTTAACTCCCCCCCAATTTTTTTTAAATTAAAAAAAAAACAAAACACAGAGCCTTACTATAATGGTATGGCTGTGGCAAGAGTCCTTGGAATATGGTGATTATGCCAATTTATCCTCGGATACCACTTCTGTTTGAGAAGTTTACTATTTGTATACAAATGGGTTTTCTACCAGTCATAATAGATAATATCCAAAAATATTTTTGAATCAAATTGTAAGCAATTTTTAATCTAAATATTATCAGTTATAGAGAGAGAAATTAATTTGTGAAAAAAATGAATATTTTTATAAGAAAGTTACAGAACTTTGAAGAGGAAAACTTCATCCCCCACCCTAAGTCAATACCATTTTATTTCTGTACATTCCTTACTAGTTCATTGCAAGGCTGCAAACCTACAATTTTGTGATTAATAAAAAGTCTTTAAAAGTATGTTTATTTGTGATCCAGATACTGGAATTTATAAAATTTGAATAGTATTTGGCAACTATGTTCTTTCAATTTGTAGTAGTAATAACATGTATATAGAGTGCAGCATCAGTCATTGTATCAAGCACTTTACATATATCACCCCCATCCAATTCCCAAATCAATTAAGAGCTTTGCTCTATTATTATGCCTTAGCCAATGAACAGAAACCCCACTGGTGAGAAGAGATGCCGTACCGACGCCCTGTATCTGCGTATATCTGCTGGATTGCTCATTATCCTTAGTTTACAAATAAAAACACAGAAGCATCGAGGGGTCACATTCCTTGCCCAAGCCACACTCTTAATCAGTGGCAGAGTGGGACTCCACTCTCTGGCAGCCCAACTTCACAGATGGCGTTTTTTACCATGTATGCCCCATCTCTCAAGTCTGAACTATTTACCCATTAAAGTTGGAGATGTTGAGTTTTTTCCATTAAGAGATAAGATAGAGAAACCCAAATATGCCTATGAAGTGATGACTCACTTCCATATAGACTCAATCTTAACACTTTCTCGTTGCTCTTAATCAATACAGGGCTTATTGATCACTTTTCCTTGCGTCTTATACATCCTATATCAATACCACATGTTTCATTCCCTATGTAGGTGACCACAGGAAATGTTCCAGTTAGCATGGCATCTGTAATCATCCACATCCCTCAATACACCAAAGAAAAGAATCCCCTGATGTACCTGACTGGGGTGCACACAGACCAGGTAAGGGTACCAGAATTATCCATAAACACCTGTACTTTCAAGGTGTTTATCCTGTGAAGTTGGGATGATCGTGTCTGACATCTTACAGATGGAAACAAAAGATAATCCCCATGCAGCCTGGGTCACAATTAACCAGCAGTCACTGTTATATTAGAAGATTGTTACAATAAATAAATAATCTGAGTCTAAGGATTTACAGGTGGCAGAAATTATTCCATAAATCCCGTTTCAGCCAGGTGAAGATCTGACTTTGTCAGGCTCTATTAGGAAAAGGCAAGGAATGAGAGGTGGAACCTATGCTGGGAGCATAGTAGGTCTATGGTGCAATTGGTAGCTGGTCTTCAAGCAGCCAGCTGGACTTTCTCCTGGTAATTCTCCTGGTAATATTCAACCCTGGTGTTCATTTCAGTGATCCAGGTCACTTTTTCAATAAGAGTGAGAAATGCCTAGTTTCAAGCTAGGCAATTAACTCCCCATCTCTAGAGCAGCGGTTCTCAACCTTCCTAATGCCGTGGCCCTTTAATACAGTTCCTGTGGGTCGCGACCCACAGGTTGAGAACCACTGCTCTAGAGCACGGGTGTTTTTCTTTAAAAGCTCCCAAGGTGGCTCTAACTTGCAGCCTAGGCGGAGAAGCACCACTCTAGTCAAGCCGTTAGACGTTGGCTGACCCTTAGTCCAGCACTCAGCTGCCTCTACAGTCATGTAATTCCTCTTGTGAGCATAGGACCCTATAGAAAATCAAAATCTTAAAATGTTTCACAGAAAAGAACCCCAAATTAAATCACTCAGTCTGTTGCTATTGCAAATTTGCCTTATATCATATGGACTAATTTTTTTTTTTTTTTGACACGGTCTCACTCTATCACTTAGGTGAGAGTACAATGGCTGTGCTCATAGCTCACTGCAACTTCCAATTTCTGGACTCAAGTGATCCTCCTGTCTCAGCCTCCCAAGTCGCTGGGATGACAGGATGTACTATCCCACCTAGCTAATATTTTTCTATGTTTAGTAGAAATGGCTCTCACTATTGTTCAGGCTGGTCTCAAACTCCTGAGCTCAAGGGATCCTCCTGCCTTGGGCTCCCAGAGTGCTAGGATTATAGGTGTGAGCCACTGAGCCCGGCCACCTAGGGCTTATATCCAGTCACATTGGGAGGATTTGACTACTTCACAGACTACGTGAGTGACTGTAGGAGTGTGGCCAGGTCCTGACACAGTTTAAAGAAACCTGACAGCCCCTCCCTTGCTTCAACATGTGACAGCAGCATTTCTTAACGTGTTAAAAGGAACATGGTAAACCTTTTTCCTTCTTGAATCTGATTGGGTGTTTTTCTTTATAGGCTGGTGACATCAGCTGTAATGCAGATATCAATCCACTGAAAATAGGACAAACCTCCTCTTCTGTCTCCTTCAAGAGTGAAAATTTCCGGCACATAAAGGAATTGGTAAGGACAGGTCAAGGCGTGACCGTTCTCTTCAGCAAATCACGGTTTGACCCGGAATTACGGCCCTTCTTTTCTTCAACCAGCTGACATCAGAGAGAGTTCT